AACAAAAGAAAAAAAAATCGGTTTGATCAAAATGTTATTGAGTTTTGGGATTCTCCAAATTTCAAAAATAACACGAAGCCATTGTGATTCATCTTCTGATACTCTTCCGCATACATTTACGAGGACCGAAAGATAAAAATTAAATAGTTTCCACTTTTCATTTTATAAGAAACAATTTTTATGGCTGTGGATTTACAAACAAAGTCGATTAAATTATCTAAACGAAATCGGGATACAGGAACGAGTAGATTTCGAAAAGGGTCAACTACTAGCTTCGTTCGATTAACATTTTATTGACGTTTAGACCTTTAGGAACCGGTCGGAGATTATCATCGCTTAGATAATAGACTACCTCTTTAATACAATAGATATGTCGCAGTAAGATAGATGTAGCCGTAATATAGTTATATCCCTAGGGATATAATCATATACCGGGACATAGTTATACGAAAGCGATTCATTACTATCTCACTAGGGATATAGTTATAAAACGGACCAAGTTTAGTGATATACTTATATTACTAGATTAAGTTCAGTGTTTTAAATATATTAGGATTTGTCTCAAAAAAGTCATATTGTCATCATATTTTAGTATATTAAAGTTTATCTTCTATGTAATTAATTACTTCACTTATTCTCTGCCGCGTCCACTCTGGTTTTTTGCGTTTCGCATTGTAAAATAGACGAAATTCCTGTTCAAAACGTCGCCTTGCATTAATGTCGGATTATTCCGAACCTGACCCGCAAACCTGACCCGGTGGTGGGTTAGGTTAGGAATTTGAAAAAATAATTGATATTTATTCCGAACGTAACCCTATTCCTAACCTAACCCACCACCGGGTCAGGTTTGCGGGTCAGGTTCGGAATAATCGTTAATTTCTTCATCCTTATCCATAGCTGGCACAAGTAATTAGCAATTATAAAACGAATATAACTATAACAAATGCTAAGGAAGCGTAGCGATAATTAAATGCACATGCACGAAAACAAGACGTGAACGCCGAACAACTATTCTCGGCCGACTGACTGCGGGCTGAGGAGCGCGTAAATACAACAAACTCCTCTCCCGCCGCGGGGGAGGCGGCGCGTCGCCGGCGCCGTACACTCCGAAAGCTATTTCACTAAACTTAATCTAGTAATATAAGTATATCACTAAACTTGGTCCGTTTTATAACTATATCCCTAGTGAGATAGTAATGAATCGCTTTCGTATAACTATGTCCCGGTATATGATTATATCCCTAGGGATATAACTATATAACGGCTACATCTATCTTACTGCGACAGATATAAGTGCAACTGATTTGAAATGCGAATTATTTGAAAGTTTTCATTTTGTTTGAAAAATGTTAAATATTAAACTTAAAGGTAGCCTTTATATGTTTATTATAAATATATTATCAATAAATAATACTTAATACAAAGCTATTACAATTTTTACTAAGGAGTGCACGGTTGGCGTGGTAGTTGGGCAACTGGCTTCTGCACAACGTATCGCGGGTTCGATTCCCGCACGGAACAACTCTTTCTCTGATCCACCGATTGTTGTCCCGGGTCTGGGTGTCATGTGTTCGTGAACCTGTATGTTTGTAAACGCACCCACGGCACAGGAGAAAATCCTAGTGTGGGGCAAAATTTTTTAATCAATAAGGAAAAAAGAAAAATCATCTTCTATTCTTTCTTCAATGTTATCTGCAGCGTTTTTTTTAATTTATGTTTTCGTCCATTTGTCCCTCAAGAATTATTCAAATCAAACACGGAAGAAAATTGGTTTGGATGTACCTTTTACGAAAAATGCACCTATCTACATCTCATATACATAATTGTCCTTTATCCTCATTGTGGTTTAAGTACCGCTAATCCTAAGTACTTAAAAGGCTTGATAACATAATCTGTGGTCCCATCTGCGCACAATAAATTACCGCATGACAACCCTTTGCATTGCTCAGCTGTACCGAGAAATAGTCTGAAAGTAATTCGTTTAAACCGCATATTGTTTCGTTAGTCAAATGGTTGTATGAATGACTGTATAGTACTAACAAGATTGCCCATTCAGTTATTGGACTTGAATGCCTAGCATTCAAAATTTTTGTAATGATACTGAGTAATTTAGTTAAGAAATGTGCGATGTTTTGCAATAGATGTGTACTTACCTATTACACACTATTGCTTTATACTTAACTCGACCATACTGTATATGTACTGAATTGTACCGTAGGGTCACCTATTTTTATAAAACGTTGCCTCGAACTAGGATTGTCGCTTGTGTCGTGGGTGACCTTTCCTTGTTTATGACATGCCTTTTACAATTTGTCGGTAACATTTACCTATAACTCCGATCCACAGTAACAACGAAGTATTATATTTAACAGCTAGCTGTTACCCGTGACTTGGTCCGGTAGAATATAAGTTTTAGAACATAAATTTATTTGTTTCAATTTTGCTAAATAAAAATAGCCTATGCTACTCCTAGAGTTACGCCAGAGTTGCGGGGCACCAGTGGATGCAGGTGGTGAGATGTCGTTCGACGTGGAGGACTAAGTGGGAGGCTTATGTCTAGCAATGGACGTCTTTCGGTTGATGATGACGTTCCTCCTGAGTACATCAGCTACCTGTCAGTAAAATTCCTGTGAAAATCAGTCCAATCATTTCAGAAATTAGCCAATACACACAGAAAGACAGACAAACCAAAAAAATTAAAAAACTTTATCTGTATAGGTAGGTACTACCTATCGTTTGTATATTCATATGCAATATGCTTGTAGTAAAAAGCTGTTATTTCAATATTACAATCAAATACTTCAATTTTGTTTAGTTGTATAGATTAAGGGGGAGGCCTTTGTTCAGCAGTAGACGTCTTTCTGCTATTGAAGATGATGATGATGATGATGATGATAATGTATATAAATGAGGTATGTTGTAGGCGTTGTGGTATCAAACAAACAATTACTTGTCAACGAATAAATTCTCAGAATCTTTAAGTTTTTCCCGTATCAAATAGATTGTTGATACATTTCAAAATCTAAATAATAAAGTTGTCTGTCGAAGTAGTACAATTGTTACTTCTGACCTTTTCCCTGCCAAGTGAGGATCTGTTTTCAGTCTAAACTAGTAACTTTAAGTCTAAGTAAATATCTGAAAGTCAGTATTTTGAGTAAAGTAACTCATATTACTCTTAGAGAAGGCCTTCTTGGAAACACCCACCGATGGCGTCAAAGATATTTATGGGAAAAATGTTTCTGCGTCGCAACTGTTTTACCGCACGTGATTGCCACAAGAATTGCTATTGGTTATCATTTGATAAGGAAATTCGACGAATGTAAATATGCAGAGTTTTCCTACTTCCGTATTAGATACGTTTATGTGTGTCTCCTTTAAGATGTTCGTAAAAATTGCGTCTTCACAAGTGCGCCTGATGAGTAGAAATACATTTTGAAGTCAAGGAAAAGGTAATTGGATTTCCTCTGTTAGGAATTTTGCTAGTATATGACAACTTGTCTCAGCTACATGTGAGTAATAACAACACTATTCAAAAATGTATCTTGGCTGTGCTTACTAAGGTTTACATTTCTTATAAGAAGTAATGTAACTACTTAATACGTTGATCAATAATGTTGTATGTGTTGTAAAAATATTACATAGCAACATTCCTATGATCAAATAAATGTAATTGCTTCTTCTGTCAAATAATACCCGGTATAAATCACAGACAGGACACATTCCTCGAATCATATAGTAATGATGTTCCATGACCCACTATATTCTTAGAATTTGCCTACACGTATATAGAAAATTATCTTTTTGATATAGACGTTTGGATTCATGAAGGTGATCGGTTACTGATCTTTGCCATGAGTTAAATAAATTAAGATGAATTCATCACAGTAATAGTATGTACTTGGTTAAAAGATTTTGGATATTAGTTCAACATTATTCGATTGGAAATAAGAGAGCACTCGTAAATTTTTGATGGTACTAAATTAACGACAAATACTGTTTCGTTCTTTATATGTGCATTGATTTATAAAACTGAAGATTTGACTATGTCTATACGAAAGTAATATCTAATTAAGATGAATGCGCACAAAAAATACATAAAAATATGTGTGCAACATAACGAATTGTTTTGTGATTACGTCGTTGTGTGTATATGTTAATAATATCATAATATACACATGTATGTAGATGACGTGGCGTGGTCACCCAATAGAATTTGGACGTTGGGTTTAAAAAATCACGCAACCAGAGAGCGAACGACGTGACCAATTGAATAAGCCGGAACGGACCAGCAAATTCTTTTTACGAAATAAAAGGAATACGTTCGAACATGTGATGTTCGTTTTTCGAAATGAAATGGCCTGATGTTGTTTGGAGATATGTCCTAACCATGGACCAATAATACAGCTGACACTAACACGTCATCGGAACGCGCGCCCCCCGCCGCCACCGCTGCCTCAACTACAAATGATTCCCCACAAAAAAGTTTTTCCCAAATTTTAAGTGACTCGGAAGGCGAGTTTAGGTCACAACCTTTGGACGAAGGCTTTATACTGGTTCAAAGAAAGAGGTTGAGAAACCGTTTCCAAGGTAAAGTTGGAAAGGGTAACGTAGATATAACTTCGAACTTCAGGGCCGCCGACGTCAAGGTTCCGATATATATCTACAATGTATCAAAGGAAACATCCACGAGTGACATTAAGAAATACGTTACAAGTAAAATAAACATAGACATTGACCTTCAAAAAATGAATATGAAAATTGCGAAGGACTACAATGCTTATAAAATATTTGTACCCAAAAATAAGCTCAACGTATTTCTGAGGGATGATTTTTGGCCAAGTGGAGTGATGTTTCGTCGATTTGTTGACTTTTCTCACAACTCTGTGGTACGTGAATATCGGGATATTGATAAAACTAAGCTAACATAATAGATATACCTACCAAACTAATATCGTTTAATTGTAAAAATATCTCGAGGTCAATCGAAGGTGTGAGAAGACTTTGTAACCAAGCAGACATCATTGCGCTGCAGGAAACGTGGCTATTGCAGCACGATATCCCTATGCTGGGCAACATTGATGGTGCATTCGCCTTCACTGGAAAGTCGGCGGTAGACCTGTCTACGGGTGTGCTTCGCGGCAGACCGTACGGGGGTGTGGCCCTATTGTGGCGATCAGCTGTGTTCCCGAAGGTGGTCGTTATTCCGTGCAGTAGTGTGCGTATCGCTGCTATAAAAATTATGCGTGAAAACCGGTCTTTGTTGGTGATAACAGTGTACATGCCTACTAATTCAAATGATAATCTATGTGAATTTACGGAGTGCTTAAGTGAACTAAACGCCATTATTGAAGGTAACGATGTTAACTCAGTGATTATACTTGGGGACTTCAACGCTCATCCGGGTAAGCTGTTTCATTCAGAGTTGTTATCATTTTGCACGGAACAATCTTGGTCGTGCGTAGATACGGAACTTTTACCTAATGACACTTATACGTATGTGTGCGGTGCGAGTGGCAGCCACAGCTGGCTCGATCATTGTGTGGTGACGAGCGCTGCGCGTTCGGCCATATTAAGTGCGTCTGTACTTAACAGCGATGTATATTGGTCCGATCATTATCCGCTATTGCTTGTTTGTAATTTTAATGCTATCCGCTCAAGTTGCCAACAGCCGACAAAAACAAGTAATATATCTCGCAATAGTGTAAAATGGGGAGAAAGAAATACAAATCAAATAGACAAATATCATCGTATTTGTAATTCTAAATTAAAGTTAATTGACTTTCCCCCGGAATTTCAATGTTGTGCTGACGGTATGTGTAATATTGACGAGCATAAATTTTTATTAGATGACATGTATAATAAGATAATTAATATTTTGACGAGGGCTGCAAAAGCTAGCTATTCTTTGCCTAAAAGTAACAACTATAGGTATGTTACTGGCTGGAACCGGTATGTCAGTGACGCTCACAGGAGGGCTCGATTTTGTTTTCAGACGTGGGTGTCCGCTGGGAAACCAAAGTCTGGTGATTTATATATTAGGATGTGTGAATCCAGAAAAATGTTTAAATCAAGGTTGGCTTCTTGTCAGAAAAATGAAAAACAAATAAAAATGAATATTATAGCAGAAAACCATTTTAATAAAGACTTTAGTAGTTTTTGGAAAAACACTAAAAAGCTAAGCCCGGGGTCGGGCCTTCCTGCTAGCGTTGGTGGTGAGCATGACCCCCATGATATAGCTTGTGCGTTCCGGCGGCATTTCAGGGTTGAGTCCCCGCTCGGGCCGGCGTCTGGGGTGCCCGCTGCTGAGAATCTCATCACCGCAATTAGTGTACGATGTAATGCGAAGACAATTGCTAATATTATTAATAAAATGGTGAGGGGCAAGTCTCCTGGTCACGATGATCTCAGCATCGAGCACCTTAAGTATGCGGGAATACACCTGCCTAGAGTTCTCTCGATGTTCTTCAGCCTCTGTATTGGTCACAGTTACTTACCCGAGAGACTTATGTACACTACCGTGGTGCCGATCCTTAAGAATAAAACAGGTGACTCATCGGATCTGTCAAATTATAGACCTATCTCTCTGGCTACTGTTATAGCAAAGGTGCTGGACAGTTTGCTTGATAAACAGTTGGAAGAGCATCTACAATTACACGACGCCCAGTTTGGATTTAGACCAGGACTTTCAACTGAGGATGCTATCCTCTGCCTCAAGCAGACTGTTCAGTATTATACTGATCGTGGCACACCTGTCTATGCATGTTACCTTGATTTATCAAAAGCTTTTGACTTGGTGTGTTACGACAAGCTGTGGCAGAAGCTGGAGAGTGACACGGAGGTACCTCGGGAGGTGATTTCATTGCTGAGGTTCTGGTACGCCAATCAGCGCAACAGAGTGAGATGGGCTGGTGCACATTCTGATGTATACGGTTTGGAATGCGGAGTTAGGCAGGGGGGAATTAGCTCCCCTCATCTCTTTAATTTGTACATGAACCGGCTCATCGGTGAGCTCAGTAACACTGGTATCGGATGTTCCATAGACGGAGTCAGTATAAATAACATAAGCTACGCCGATGATATGGTGTTACTGAGCCCATCGATTGCAGCGTTACGGAAATTGATGTGCATCTGCCAATCATACGCGGAAGCCCATGGGCTCAGATACAACGCGAATAAGAGTGAGTTCATGGTGTTCAAGTCACGTAGCAAATGCTACTCCCATGTTCCTCATGTAACTCTGTGCGGCATGCGTCTAAAAAAGGTTAGTGCCTTTAAGTATCTGGGTCACTGGGTGACTGAAGACTTGTGTGACAATGAGGACATCGAGAGGGAACGCAGGGCTCTGTCCATCCGGTGTAATATGTTGGCTCGCAGGTTTGCACGTTGTACTACTCAAGTAAAGATAACATTATTCAAGGCGTACTGCCAGACCTTTTACACGTGCAGCTTGTGGACTAATTTTGCGCTGCGGGGGTACAGTGCACTGCGAGTGCAGTATAACAATGCGTTTAGGATATTATTGGGGCTGCCACGTTTTTGTAGTGCTTCCGCTATGTTTGCTGAGGCGCAAACTGATGATTTTTTCGCCATAATCAGGAAAAGGTGCGCCTCGCTGTTAAGGCGTGTGCGTGGCAGCCCGAATGGTATTCTGAGCACATTGTCCCAGCGGTGGGACTCACCAATGTTGATGAGGTGGATGCGATTGCACGCGAGCGGTCCCTCATATTTATAATTGACATAACTATATTATTTACTTGTATTATTATCTATTGACTAGTATTTTTATTGACTTATATTATTATTGACTTATATTGGGATTGTATTGACTATTTATAATTGAAACTGACTACTTATAATTAATTGACTATTTACAATTGAAATGGACTATTGACTATGTATGTTCTTTGTGTGTTTGTGTAATTTATTATTTTGATTATTTGATGTATGAACGAATTGATTATTATTTTTATTATTTTTAATTTATTATGATACTTGCTATAGAGACAATTTTTTAATTTTTAATTTATTTATAAAATTTTTGAACCTGAATTCGTTTTAAATGTAATTTTATGGATTTTATTATCTGAAATAAATTGGTATTATTATTATATTATTATTATTAATAATAGTTTATTCGTCCTTGGTCTAACTAAAAATACACAGTACATTAACATACCATACGTCTCCTCCAGCTTGCATTAGAGTCTTTGGCAATAATAATAAACTATATGATCAAAGAAGTGAGAGCTATATCTATGGTACTTCAATGAATGCCGTCACCGTCATTGAAATCGAAAGCAAACAAATCGAGTAGGCCCAGGGTTTTTTTATGGAATGAGCCGGTAAACGAACCGGCGGATCACCTGATGGTACCTAAGCAAACGGCGTCGCCCATGGACACCAGAGGCATTAACACAAGTACGTTACCAGCCTTCTGGAGATTAGGAGTTTGAGAGTTGTTTGGGAGATTTGGGAAGGGGGGAGGGCCAATTGGGCCTCCAGTAACCTCACTCAGACGACGAAACTCAATACAAGTGTTGTGTCACGGCGGTGTTCTGTGAGGCCATTGTATCACTCCGGTCGAGCCGGCCCATTCGTGCTGAAGCATGGCTCTCTATAGGTTGACCGATCATCGATGTTCAAAATTTGAAAATTAAGTAGCATCGACAGCAAATCTATGTTTTTTTAAACGTTGCTCCACGCTAGGGTTTTCTCCTGTGTCTTAGATTGGTTTACAAACATACAAGTTTACATCCCACAGTTTGTGTGTTGAAGTGATTAGTCCTAATTCGGGACTCAGATAATATTCACTTTCAGAGGGATACTTAACACGTTAAATGTCATGGGGGTCACCGGTGACCGGCGTTAGCGGAGTATTTACCGTCAACAGTTTTTTATTGGCAGTTAAAGTCTCTCATTTAGTGCTTACCTAATTCTTGTAACTATCACGGTTTTGTTAAAAATGCTGCTTTAAGAATATTAAAATTAAAATTTAGTTGGGATTGCCAACCAACAAGACAGTCATTCATTAGACAGCTACACGAAAGCATTGTTCATAAAATTTCCAAACGGAAATGAAAATGCTAAGACTGACTGATGGCAGTGCTTTAGAAATATGGCCTCTCATCGTGGAGATGACAAAGTTGTGCAATAAAGTACCGAAACAGAGCACGATGATAATAAATAAACAAATGCTTTGACTGCTCCATTGGTGCAATCCAGGATGAAGTCTTTAAATCAGTCAGGGATTTGTGATTAGGTTACCATTAGTAACACAGAGTTGAGATTGTTCTGAGACCGGTAATTGGCTACAAACTCTTCAATTCTTATTACAATTGGATTATCAATCAGTTATACTCTGTGGTTGGACCTACATAAGTAAGCACATTGCCCGTTCCTTTCGTTACTGATTAACTTTCACACGATACACAGTCTATCACCTTTTTAGTGAGCCTCGGGGAGATTAGGGAACACTAAAAGATCATTTTTCTTAATTTTCAAGACCAGTAAAGAACGGGAATGTTCCCCCCCTTTCGTGCATATGAAATCGGTGATGAAAGCTAGTCCTTTTAGAAATTGGATAGCCTTAAACAAATCTCTCACAGACAAGGGAATGAAAGCAGGTTACGTTGTGAAGTTGCCAATTAGTACTCAAGTCAGTGCCGAGACCGACGTTTTGATTCGGATTTTGACTGAGTGTTTGTTTTTGATTGACTTTGAAGCATACAACGGAACCAAACTCTCAGTTAATGGTGTTCCGGAACGTGCCCTCGAGGCATTCTGTGCAAATCCCGTTAATGACTTCCCATTTTCAAAGTACTTGTATCAGCTAAATATTTGTCCTACAAAAATATAGAAGCTTTTCTGTGGCGTTATAAATCAAATGATGCCGTTATGTACCAAAAATATGTTGTAAAGCACTTAATCTGTCTACGTAGGTAAATCGCGCGCATAAAATATCGGCGTGTAGTGTACAGCGACGTTTACCGCTCGGAATAAGAAAAATATCCAGGTCTATGAGTTCCATATATATTACATACATTATACGTATTATCATATCAAAGGTTTTGAAACGAAAGAAAGCAATATTAGCATTCACCAACTGTTCGAATACACGACACCAATTTACAACATATAAGAGTATATTACACAATACATACAACAGCCTAAAAGCTTTTCCAATAAAGTTAATTTGATGAGGTCCCATTGAAACTGGCGATGATTAAAAAAATTGGAGAGCGCGCCCGTTCTTTACGAGGTTAAAAGTTTCACGAAAAACCCGAACGGGAGGCAGAACACATATCAATTTAATCATTCCGGCTACTGAAGGTGTTACTTCGCTAAGAAATAAAGAATTCAGAGTTATAACAGCAACTGTAATTGGTAGAACGTGAACACTGTGTTTCGTTCGGGGGATTAATCTGAGATTCTGAGATATTATTGAAATATGATCGAAACAAACATTGAAAAATTGTATTAAATATTTTTAAATATTATCTTGATATGTCATAAGACTTACGAAAAGTGATGTTGAATGAACCTAGTAATGATTACTTCGTATATACTTACACCTCAATCAACAAGGCGAAGTAGATTAGATATTGATTGTAATCTGGAAGTTCGAAGATATTTCACGCTCATAGCTCGGGAGACATATAATAATACGGTGATTTGGGCCAGACATTTCTCTGGATTGCCATTCCAGAGAATTCTGAGAGTAAGCGAACAAAGGTCCAGTGACTTTTACGTAATTCACTAGTAAGTACTTACCTATAGATAACTTGACTGACGTAATAACACAGTATGGGGACATTTTATATGGGTATTATTTCTTCCGTATGATAATACCTAGCCATATAGTAATTTTAACTACTTAGCCACTCCTTAGTTAATACCTTAAACTGTCAAACACCAAGCGGTCACCGGTGACCGCAACCTATTGTTCTATAATTGTGTCTATAATTACGATACTTGACCAGTTAAAAACGTTTCTAATACTTTTCCGACCGTTTTCCACAAGCTAGCAACTAAACCATTCATATTATACATACATAACGTCACGCCTTTTATCCCCGAAGGAGTAGGCAGTGATGATATTGTGCCACTCACAGTGCCACTGTATAATGCTCAGATATAATAATTAATATTTCTGTGGTATAATGTAACACCCACTTTTCACTATTTATGTTATGCGTCCCATGTAATAGGGGGTGAGCCTATTGCCATATACCGGGCACAATTCCAGACTCCATGCTACTACTAAGATTTTTTTAAATACCCAGTTATAGTTTGCCCCACCCGGGAATCGAACACGAGACCCCTTGTCTGGCAGTCGCACTTGCAACCACTCAGCCAACGAGGCAGTCATATTACAATCATATTATTTAAACTCAAAATATGTCTCACAGCACAATAATAACATGTATGTGTGTGTGTGTTTTTTTTTTACTGTTTAACTGTATAATGTTTTGGCTTGTGCTGTAAAATTATACATGTGCTTATAAATAAATAAAATAAAAAAATGTAGATACAAGTTTTCTGCTGCGTACTAAATTATTTTAACTAAATAATATAATTACTTGTCGTGACGAACTTCACAGAAAGCAACCACTGGAATACACCTAGGTCGTACCCAAGTTAATATTGAATTGTTAGTAATTATTAAATTAATGCCACCTAGAATTCGTAGGAGTCTGTAAGTGACATACTTCCAATTAACTATCCTAAACAGTTTTAAAATTCATTAATGGAGTTTCAACTTTAAAGCTAAAGTGTTAGGTTTAAATTTTTATCGGTGATCTACAAATAATTTTAACTCGACAAATATGCTTGTGGATTTCGATATAGTAAGTGGGTAGGTTTATGCGAACGTTTTGTTTATCTGTACTCACACATGCAAACAGATAAAAAGGATCATACATTAGCTGCATTTCCTAATTAAAAAGTCAGAATAAAAATGATGCTCAAAGCCTAAGCTTTGAGCATAGGTACTTCCATAGGTACTTCTTTCGACACCAATGAAGAATGGCAATAAATGATATTGCTGAATAAGTTACTGTACCTAGTAAAGATGTGATAGAATTATAATAAGTACCTAATTATTTTTTTATTTCTAGTCCGATTTGTATCTATTTAGATATACCTATATCTACGTACATATTTTTTTAAGGGGGAAAATTATCGAATGTCTTCTCCCACCTAGGTGAGGAGGGGGGGAAGTGTCATACTCTTACTGACTAAAAACCACCCCGTAGGAGTAGGATCCTGTTGGCAATATGGCTTAGTGGTTAGCGCATCCAGAAAACTACGTGGATCAACAAGCCTTGAGTTCTAATCTCACTGAGACTTACGTAAACGTTTCCGGCCCATAGTGCTGCTCGACGAGGTGGGGAAAGTCTTCGAAAGCTTCGCTCCGCATCATGACCCGCACTAGGGCCGGAAGCGAACCTACGTACATAATATCACTCAGAATTTCTCAAAGAAGAATAAGTTCGTAATCATATTATGAGACACTCACGGTTCACACATGTCAAACATCTGTCTTTGATATTTTACAGCGTATTTTAAGTACCAACAAAAAGCCTCGACCCTTTGTTTAAATGTGAAAACCATTCTAAAAAGTAAGCCTTCAATTTCATACATCAAAAAGATTTTATCCATTTTGAAATTAAATTAACAGCAATTCCCAATCAATTTCCACTAGAGACTCTATTGTTCGAATATTGTCTATAAAATTCTGAGTACAGGACCTAAATTAGAGTTGAGCTCAATGCCACAACAGATTTGTCGTTTCACACAAG